GACTGAACGACTCTCAAAATTTCAAACGGTCATTCCACATCTTTGCAAGTGTCTGATTCTCGAGTTTCCTCCCAACGGACATTGCAGCCTGTCTTTCGTTCCCTGAAAGCCCTGATGATGGCATTGTGTAATAAGGCTTGAAGAGTGCGCCTCATAGAACTTGTCCAGTATGATGTCCGCCTGAGCACGGAAGGCCCTTCTCTTGAAAGCCACCTGCTGATGAGCATTAGCTTCTACAATCTTTAACGCAAGATCCGTTTTATGGACACCAATTTTAGTAAGAACCAGTGTTTACCTGAGCGGATGATCATGTCCCTTGCATCAAGTCCAACATTAGCCAATCATGGACTAGCTGCCATAAATTTCATCTGAAAAGGATCCAAAGCCGTCAATGCCGCCCAAAAGCTCAGACCAGCACCAGCCTGCAGTCATGTCCATAAGCAGTGTGCATTTTTCATTCAAGAATAAGGACCTGGAATAGCGAAAGTTGGCACATGAAAGCAATCCTCGGAAGAGATCTAGTGTGTATCTGAGACAAAGATTGAACACATGATATTGTACAAAGGATGTCAGATGTCCCTTGGTTGCTGTAGCATTCTCAATAAGGGATATGGCGTTTGCAGCTCAATACCGTTGTAGCTTGACAGAAGCTTCATCTCAAGAATATCGGCATAGGAAAGTAACTCCAGGGCAAGCATAATCCAGCTCCCAATTTATCCTAGAGCAGCGAAATCAGGGTCCCTCGAATGGACAGTAATATTCAGTCCCTGGAAGTTGTAGAGGCGCTCAAAAAATGCATCACAGTGAACTTGTTCAATAGACTGTTCTCCTGCAGTACACTGAAAGTTGTGAGTAAAGACAAGTGAATATGAAGATTAAAGTGAGTTGTTCCCATATAGTATAATCATGTATCTGGCATCGAGTCCTACTCTGGCGAGCCTGGCGACCATCGAGTCCTGCATTGAAGATTGGTCGTACGGGTTGTAGCAGTACAATTGTGAGAGACCACAACCAAATTCCTAACAAAAGACAAAAAACAAGACCTAGGCAATGCCATGCAATCTCAAGTTCCATACAGACTTCCTGAATTCTCTTGGAATTCTATTCTGGAAAAAGTTTGTACAGCAGTGCCGACTTGTCAGTATCAGTAAGTTATTATTATATTGATAGTGATAGCGTTGTTCAGAGATTAATCCTCTTTATTGCAGCCTACAAGTGATTCCAGCTAACTCCATGTGGGCCTGTGCGAGGGCGGAGGGGGAATTTGGCTTTGAAGACATCCAGTTATGAAGGTTATTTTCATGCTTTGTTCCTGTAGTATTAAGTTCGACATCGATTGGAATTCCATTGGCAATCTCAGTGCATCTCGACGTAGGAAGACATTAGACACGGAATTTAAGATGGAGCCCTCAGGAAGGAAGGAAGTTCCTGTGTGCAGTATTTCTTATCTCGACCCAAATACGAATCTAGAGTCTGAAAGTGGTTGAAATGCGAGCGTAAACTGAATGGATCGGAATGCTCACGAAATGTTGCCATTGGAGAAATGAAGAAACTTCTTGTATTCGTTCTCCCTCGTCTTTCGCCAAAACAGTGAGATGTAAATGACCGTATTGTTGAGCTTGTGTGAACTAGCCAGGCTCTTAAGTTTTTTGTTTCTATTTCAGACGTTTTAGATGTCGGACATGTATTTTACAAATGTGTGTCAAGGGTGTTTCTACCGATCAAAACACCCTCGGATAACTTCAAAAGAAGACATAACATCTGTGAATCTAGTCAATTTACTAACCCATAATTTTGTCAATAGGAGCTGATGAATATTAGGATGAAAAATCATACATCAACATTTGAAATATAATGATTGAAAACAGCAAGTTTACAGCAGTAACTGGAGGCTTTTTCGACATATACTGCATAGTAACCACCTGAGAATCAATGGTTATTGGATTTATTTCATAGGGAAGAGTAGTTACAAGCTTAGCCTCGGACTAATCAAAGAATGAGATTCATCTAATTCAATTGTATCTACATCCACCACTAGTTTTTTCTGACCCTATAGCTACAAATGTGATATAGGAACATGATCCAAGGTGCACCATAGATGTACAGCTTTCTTTACTAAATGCCTAGTTCTGAAAGAAATAACTGTCTTATTGAAGGCTGCCGGGAGTGACATCCGTGAGCCAAAATTACTTACAGGAATTGAAATTTTCAAAAAATGCATCCCTCGTCTAATATTTGGGTTCAACAAAGGCGCAGTGTTTTCTCCAGCCATATGGCTCAAGTGCAGGAATGGCGCCCATTTTGATCATGGCCCATCCGAACTCGTTCAGGAAGGCCATGGGATCTTGCACCGCTCTGATGGCATATTCCACGCCCAGCGGGTCGCTCAAGAGCGCCACGTCGGACTCCAGCAGGCCCTTGTTCGTGAGCAGGTCCAAGTAGTACGCGGAGTCGAAGGTGCCGTTGGTGGCGTCCAGAGCCATGAATCCGAAGGGCTTGGTCGGCGGGCACTGGACCTTGAGCATGGCAGCGAACTCAGGGTCCATGGACGGATCGGTGATGTTGAGTCCCTGGAAGTTGTAGAGGCGCTCGAAAAATGCGCCACAGTGAACTTGTCCAATAGAGTGTCCTCCTGCATCAATGCGATAATGAGCACAAAGTTACTTTGAAGGTGTTTGGTGTGTATTCCTCGAGGGACATTCTGTGTCTCAGCGTGGATCAGTTCCATATTTTTCTGTTCCTGTGAATATGTAGACCGTGAGCCGATCCAAGTCGGATCCAACGTGACTTCTACTGAACTGCACCACGAGATTTCCCAGATGCTGTGCTTCAAATTCCTCATAAGATGAACAATCAAGTATTTTTGCAGTTAGCAAAAATCATGGCACATGCTCTTTCTAGTTCTCTCTCTTACCTGATAGTATAACCATGTCTCTGGCATCGAGTCCAACTCTGGCGAACCGGGCGACGAGTTGCGTGAAGTTGTCTGTACGTTCAGGTAAACTACTATTGACCTCATCGGCGAATGAAGCTCCTCCATCTATACGGCCCAGAAACACGGGCCAGCTGGTGCCGCCAACCTGCAAATGATCACATATTGTCTCTGAATATCTTCGAGTGCAAGTTCGTGCTGGTATAGGACAAGCATCATGCATCGTGTCCTAGCATTGTTAGCCTCTACATCAAAGCTGCGAATTGAGTGCTTGAATTGTAATATATTGTTTCGATAGCAGTGGATCCCTGGGAATGTCAATCGTCATACCACATACCTTCTCAGTGGCGTCTCGGGCAACCAATGCCAAAATATCGGCACAAGATACCACACCTGGGCATGCGCACTCGAGCTCCATCTTTATTTCGTCTATCTGCTCGAATCCTCGCAGCGAACCTTTGTTTAGCAATGCTTCTTTCTCAGTCAACATTGTGTCGGTAGAATTGAGAAGGACGGACCCATCGCAGCCCTGCAAGTCAATCAGAATTCTGTCGTTCAGATCGGAGAACATCATTTCTTGTTACTTCTTGTCATTTCTTGTTAATTTAAATCATGTCATTACTTGCAACACGTTTCCAAAACGCCGGATCACCCTTACCCGGACGAAACAATCGTGGAAATGCAGTCGCATCAAGGCTGCTGCGAGGCCTCGATCGGCATCAACAAACGCATTCACCTTTTGTTGAACGATGGATGCGGCTTGTGGACATGTGGCATCATAGAACGTTTCCGACAGCTGTAACTGCGCATCAGAAACAGCTACTGCTACCGCAAGCACAATGAGGAGTACTGATCTCAGACTGGTTGAAGCCATTGTTGATAGAAGAATGCGAACTGCTCTCCCCGAGACAGTGTCAATCCCTGTCAACAATTGGACGGTCTTGACCTCGCACCAAGTCGAAGGCAGTCCGACCACAGAAATTGATCAGACTCACCTTCCTGCAAAATGCCATCATCTGGGTACTTAGAGAAAGAAAGACAATCCGAGATGCATAATGGACAGAAAATCGCTACGACTGAACACAAGTACGAAGTACTCGGCAAATGAAACTTGAACATCCAAGAGCAACGCGTACGCCCAGGAAACGAGATAAAACTCACGAGCTGAATTGAGGTCAAAGATCAGATGGAGCTCGTCCAACTTGTGATAAGTCATTCCTCTCTATGGTCTTTTATACTTGAGTATAGGATCCATGTGGTTCCATCGATATATGGCACAATGACTTGTCATTCCTAATTTTAAATTCGACGGAGTATATTAAGGTTGTAAGCTGGACTTGAATATGTGTAAGGACGCTCGGTATGCTATATTAAAAATGCATATCAAATTGGAAGCTAAACCATGGAAGCTAGGTGTCCTAATTGCAGTTAGATGTGATCACACTTCAAACAATAGTTTAATTCAGATCCAGAGTAGTATAATTTTACCACCTTTTGTGATCCCTTTTTTAGAAGCAACGCATGATCGTTGCGTAATGGAATGGTGAGATTTAATGAATTTTATTCCTTCGATACTCAAAAAAACGATTTGGAGCTTATAAGACCGAATCTTTAGTAATTAAACAATGAAGATCACGAGTTGGTCAAAATCGGCAACTTCAGACACATCATATGATGGAGCAAATAAGCTCAGAAACGTCCAAATGTTAGTACTATAACTGCAGAGTTTAGTAAACAGTACACATGTCCTGTTTACCTTACACTGCAGTCCCTGAAAGACCGTAGGCCACTCCGACAAGAATATAGCTGAGCTATAGTATGAATCTTCCAAGAAGGTTGGGATTCGCATAGCTGGATTCCAAGCGCCTTCTGCTTGTTTGCAATCTGATTACATGCAATTACAAAAAGGTCTACTGGCCTCCATGACACCGCTATCCATTTCGATATAATATGCGAAGTGTTATTTCAAAAGTTCATGGCCAGCTTGCGATATTAAAATACCAAAGAATCAGGAGTGAAAATCACATTGCGGAGGGTACTACTCTGACCACTTGAAATGTAGAAACGAGGTATAAAAGTCCGCCGAAATGAATGACTTATCACAAGTTGGACCATCTTCTTCTAGATCTACGAACTCAAATCAGCTCGTAAGTTTTTTCTCGTTCCTTTCCTTGGAAGTATAAGACTGGTCTTGGATCCTCGTAGCTAAAGAATTTTCAGAGTTTCAGACCTCGTTTCCTTCAAAGCTGCACGAATCTACTTTTAGCGAGTTTCACATTGACGCGAGTTGCAGATTTTCTTTCTTTCTTCGAAAGCTCAGATGATGGCATTGTGCAGGAAGGTAAGTCTGATCGACTCGCGTGATTGGACTGCCTTCGGCTGGGTACGAGGACGAGATCGTCCACTTGTTGACAGGTCCCAGACAGCCTGGGGGGAGTGCAGTCGGCATTTTTCTAGCAACAATGGCTTCGACCAGTCCGAGATCGGTCGTCCTCCTTGTCCTAGCTGTGGCAATAGTTGTTTCAAACGCGCAGTTACAGCTGTCAGAAACGTTCTATGATGCCACATGTCCACAAGCCGCATCCATCGTCCAACAGAAGGTGGATGCGTTTGTGGATGCCGATCGAGGACTCGCTGCAGCTTTGATGAGACTTCATTTCCACGACTGCTTCGTCCGGGTAGGAGGGATGCACTGTTTTTGAGACGCGGTCGATTCAAGGACCTGCTTAAAAGTTAATGGCCTTTAAATACTTAGAGATAGCGTTTTCCCTTCTGAACGACACAATATTGATTGACTTGCAGGGTTGCGATGGGTCCGTCCTTCTCAATTCTACCGACACAATGTTGACTGAGAAAGAAGCATTGCTAAACAAAGGTTCGCTGCGAGGATTCGAGCAGATAGACGAAATAAAGATGGAGCTCGAGTGCGCGTGCCCAGGTGTGGTATCTTGTGCCGATATTTTGGCATTGGTTGCCCGAGACGCCACTGCGAAGGTATGTGGTTTGACGACTGACATCGTCCGAAATCTATTGCTATCGATAAACTGCATCATTTCAAGCGCTTATGTCTCGGAATTGATGTAGAGGCGAACAGCTTTTGAGAGCTCGGACACAATGCATGAGGTTTGTCCTCTACCCGCACGAACTTGATGTGAAAGCTATTTATGAAGAATATGGATTCATTTGCAGGTTGGCGGCACCAGCTGGCCCGTGTTTTTGGGCCGTATAGATGGAGGAGCTTCATTCGCCGATGAGGTCAACAGTAGTTTACCTGAACGTAGAGACAACTTCACGCAACTCGTCGCCAGGTTCGCCAGAGTTGGACTCGATGCCAGAGACATGGTTATCCTATCAGGTAACTTGACGAGTGCGAAATGATCTCTCTTTTGACGCTTCAGCTACAAAATACCATGTTGTTGATGTTATGAGGAATTTGAAGCCCTGCGCGCATAAAACTCGATGTCAGAGTGATTAAACTCATTCTTTGTCGTCTCCGACTTGGGCTTTGTCACATTCATACATTCTGGGGAAAAACTCGATCAACGCTGAGACACATAAATTACCTTGGATATGAATTTAGAGGTCGCAGCAAAGCACACACACAATCTTTACTCTTTACTCTTCATATTCATTTGTTTCCTCACAACATTCACTCCACTGCAGGAGGACACTCTATTGGACAAGTTCACTGTGGCGCGTTTTTCGAGCGCCTCTACAACTTCCAGGGACTCAACATCACCGATCCGTCCATGGACCCTGAGTTCGCTGCCATGCTCAAGGTCCAGTGCCCGCCGACCAAGCCCTTCGGATTCATGGCTCTGGACGCCACCAACGGCACCTTCGACTCCGCGTACTACTTGGACCTGCTCACGAACAAGGGCCTGCTGGAGTCCGACGTGGCGCTCTTGAGCGACCCGCTGGGCGTGGAATATGCCATCAGAGCGGTGCAAGATCCCATGGCCTTCCTGAACGAGTTCGGATGGGCCATGATCAAAATGGGCGCCATTCCTGCGCTCGAGCCCTACGGCTGGAGAAGACACTGCGCCTTTGTTGAACCCCAATTATAGGCCAATGATGCATTGTCACGCTAGATTCCATTTGTTGTGAGTAATTTTGGCTCTTGGATCTCACTCCCGGCAGCCTTCAATAAGACGGTTATTGCTTTCAGAACTAGGCAGTTAGTCAAGAAAACTGTACATCTGTGGTGCACCTTGGATCATGTTCCTATATTACATGTGTAGCTATAGGGTCAGAAAACACTAGTGGTGGATGTGGATACGATTGAATTAGATGAACTCATTCTTTGATTAGTCCGAGGCCAAGCTTGTAACTACTCTTCACTATGAAATAAATCCAATAACCATTGATTCTCAGATGATGACTATGCAGTACATGTGAAACAGCCTCCAGTTACTGCCGTAAAATTGCTGTTTTCAATAATTTCATTACAATTGGTTATGTTGCAAATGATGATGTATTTGCTGTAAATAACCAAACATTTCATGCAGATATTCACATTGGCATCTAACGACAGATTCCAATAAGCTTTCGAAAGTGTGAACAATGACTATAGGCTTTAATGCCTCTCGTTGTACAGTACACTGTTGCGCAACTAAGCTCATAAGATGTGAAGCTCCATTCTAATGCAGGAAAGAATTGGACGAACCATACTATACGATGCGGAAGAACGACTGTTGTAATAACCCACCGAAGGCTAAAACTGCAGTATGGTGGTAAAAAGATCGAACCCACAGGGACAGAGGCAACACACAGAATAAAAGTGTCACGTTTAACAGACTTTTGGTAGAGTTTGAATTCTAGGCGACTGTCACTCCCAGAAATACTGCAGTGCTCGACTCGGAGGCTCGACTCGGAGGAGGATCTCAACTCGGAGGATGCTCGGAGGATGCACGGTACAGCTTGGTCACTCAACACACACACACACACACCTTAAACTGGCAAAAAGCACAACTCGGAGGTCGGTCAGGACCTCCGCTTCGGATTTCAGGAGGAAAGTGCCTCACAAGTTCACTCAGAGGTTCTGCAGGAAGTGCCTCCCACTCCGGCTTTTACTGCCCTTCCGCCAGGAACTAGCGGGGGTACCCGGACTGGACTTCTCACTTCGGAACGAAGCCTCTACGTACGCCGTGGACGTCACCCTCGACTATCACACAAAACGCAGGGAGTGCAGACCCGACTGAGAACTTACTGAAAACACGATCCAGTAACACACACACAACCTGAATTACAAACCAAGGTTTACACGAAGTAATGAAACTTCACATTGGCATTCAGGGGAAACTTCCCGTAGGAGTACAATCAGGATATGTCACTCGAAGGAGTAAGGGGGAACTGTTCAAGTCTCTAACTCGCAGCCGGCTCTGAGCATCAGAAATCACCCGCAGGTGCAGATCCGCACTACTCAAGTCTCTAACCGGGTGCTAGCTCTGAACATTCAGCCGAAGGCCTCCAACTACAACATACAGTAACTTCGCTATGCTGCAGCTTCTCTACGTGGTGCCAGGACCAAAATGCACAAACACGCCAAGAAAGTGAGTTCCTGATCTGCACTTCCGAAACTGGAAGAGTCCCAAGGCAAAACGCCTTGATCTACTTTATACTCTCAAAAGATCCTCACTAGCACTACGCTATCCTATCTACCACTCGCAGCATCTGCGCGAAACCAAACTACTCTACTGCACTCAGCAGATCCGGTGCTGCGCCTCCTGCGCGCCGGACTGCTCCGCTTACTGTCTCTACCTTGCCAGTCTTCCGACCGGCTGCGTAACCCTAGGCGTCGGAGCGCTGCAGTGACTTCCGACTGCAAGTGCGCCATAGTGTCGCGCGCACCCGACAAGAAGGTTTCTAATTTTCTCGCCACTCACCGCCGACTCCGACTGTCACCTTCCGTCAGGGCCGCCGCCCGAAGCTCGAACTCCCGGAGTGTAACCCTCTCTTGAGCTGCCACCTCCCAATGGGTGTATCCTTTTAGACAACGAGTCACCCGTGCCGCCAACTCTCCTCGCGCTCTGCAGCTGCTCTCCACCTCTGCCAGCTGCATTTCTAATTCCGCACGTTGTGCCCTCAAATCCGAGCACTCGGATTGCAAGTTGCACAACAACTCCTCATCCTCCTTGCGGGCTCTTTGACTTTCTTCTAAGGCGCGCGTCTGGCGCGCAAGCTCGGCTGCTAGGACTTTGTTCTGTCTCCGCTCCTCCTGCAAGTCCGACTCGATCTTTGCCCGTATTAGTTCGGCATCCGCCTGACTCTTCGTCGCCGCATCCTCCTTCTGCTGCTGCAAGGCTTGGTATAGCTTCTGGGTGACCGCCAGGTGTTGTCGGAGGGCGGTGTTCCTATCCACATATACTTGGCACCTAGAGGCCCACCTTGCCACCTTGCTCCTCGTCCTTCGCCTGATTGTCTCCACATAAGACTGCGGTTTTAAGGCACTTGCGTATTTGGATGTCTTGCGATCCAGATATCGCAGGAGTGGAACTATCTGTTCGCACAGCACCCCTGTTGGCGTTTTCTGCACCGAATCCTCTTCTTGCTCTTCCGAGCTCGTCTCATCCTCAGTCTCGAGGATCTCAGTCGCCACCGAATCCCTTGGCGACTCCCTGGAACTGTGGCGCGCAGCAGCTTCCGCTGCGACTGCTGCTCCACTGCCTGCTAAAATATCCAGGGCAGTGGGAGATCCCACTGCTTGAGCCCCTGTTCCGGCTTGATCTTCGGTTTGTGAAGGGGTCGACGCCGCAGTGACTTTTGTCACTCTTGATCCACCCGCTTCTGCTGCCTGTCCTTCCGGCGCAATCTGCGCGGAAGGTGTCCTTGCTGAAGGTGCGTCCGCCGAAGGCGTCCGCACACTCGTCGTTGGCCCCATCCGTCTCGCAGTCGGCGAATCCGGCTGACTCTCTGTTGTCCGACTCGCAGTCGGCCGACCAGCAGTTGTCCGACTGGGAGTCGGATACACCCTGCGCGTCTTGACTCCACTTGGCCTGCTTGCTGGTGGCGTTCTTCCAGAAGTGCCTTCCGCCGAAGACGACCCTCTGAGGATTGTTGGCTTGTCAGCCAAACTCTCTTCTGCTTCCGGCCTGCTGTCCGGTTCAACGCGCCGTTCAGTTGGCCTTCCTTCCGCTTGTCGACCTTCAGTCATCCGACTCGCAGTCGGCCGGCTGTCAGTCCGTCCATCTCCTCCCGAAGGCCGTGGTGCCTTCTGTGCAGAGGTTTCTGCCGTCTTGCCTAGGATCTGAGCGATTATCTCTTCCTGTGTGAGATTCCGCCGGGTCGGAGTTCGCCTGGTCTCCTCAGTAACAGTTGGCATTTTGCGTGCCCTCTGTTTTGGTCGACTGTGAGGCTCGGGGGTGGGCCGACCACGAGTCGGCGCAGCTGGCACTTCCGGCTGCCTGTCCTCAGGTCTCTCATCCCACTTCCGCTTGCGCGGAATGCGCTCACTTCGACGTTCTTCTGCTGCTCTGGCTGGAGCCGGAGCCGGAGGCGTACTGGCAGGTTCCTCGTCCGGATCCGTGTCTACTTCGGCCTCCCTCGAATATCTACCTGGATAAGTCCGGGTCAGCTGCGGAAACCGAGTTTTCTCAGCATTCGTCAAACATCCCATCGCCCGGTAAAACACGATTAAGTAAGGCGATAGATGATTGAGCGTTCCTCCCCTCTCTTCTTGCGCATGTTGGCGCGTCACCTTCCACAGGAGCCGTGCCCAATGCACCGGAGCTCCTGACAACACTAGCTCCACGAACTCTACCTGCCAACCATGCATGTAAGCGGTCTTGGTCGGCTGCAATATCTGCAGCAATGCCGTCGCGACATTTCTCCGCAATCGATCCTTGTAATCCCGTGTCCGGAAACCGTTCTTGGGATGTCTAGCCACCTTGAAGAGCTCATTGTAAGAGACTTCTTCCTCCTGGGACACTTTCACGCTGTCGGCCTCGAAGAGGAGATCCCCTTCCTCGCCGGCACACCTGCCCAACACCTGCGCCCAATTGCAAATGTCCCATCTCTCTGGGTGTGGGCGAAATCCGCGAGAAGGCTTGTGTCTCTCTTGCAGATACTCGCGCACCATCTCCGGACATGTCCAATTCCACCCCCAGAGGAGAAAATCGAGCTTCAGCCTCAACAGCACATCTTGAAATGCGCGTAGACCGATCTGCGGCACCCTGAGTGGAGACACTCGCAGCTGGGGAACCTTCGACATTGCGTTGCCTGCACACACAAACGTTCTCCCTTTCGCTCGCTCTCTCACACTCGCGACTGCGCGTCGGTCACTCAAGCACTGACGGCTCACTCTCTCTGCGCTCGTTCAAGATCGCTACTCCCAATTCTTTCAAGGTCCGCCAAGATCCTTGCGCAACTCGTCTCTGCACTCTCTACTCTTACTGCAGGTCGCTCCGCCCTTGCGCGTAATCTTGGAACTGGAAATCGCAAAGTCAAGAATGAGAGAATGAGACTGGAGCGCAGTCTTTTCTTCTCCGATTTCAAGAACGTCCAACGTTCTTACTGGTTGCAACGTACGCAGCCGGCTATACGGCTTAACGGTTCGCCCTTTGCATGCGCGAATTCACGTCTCCGCATTGCGCGCATTCGCATGCTTAAACGTTGAATTCTCCCGCCGCCGCCACCTTCCGGACTCGAGTCCGCTGCAGGGTATACGTCGGCCCTGTTGTCTTTTCCTAACCGGCCCTTCTCCGGAGGCGTGTCGCCGCTGGTGCGTTCATTATCCGTCGGCGCCTTGCTGGAGGCGCACATCCAGTCGGATAGAATTACGCCGGCGCGCAGTCGTACCGCCTATTTTGTCCTTTATGCCTCGTCCGTTGCTGCCGGCGCATATCCGCCAGCGCAACTCATGCCAGCGCATCCGGCCGTCAGCGCCACGTCGGAGGCGTACATCCGACCGGCGCTTTCCTTCCATGAACAGCCGTCAAAGGCGCTTCCGACTCTGAGTTGGTTTCCTCCTATGAGCGCGTGATTCCGCCGAAGGCGCATCGCCGAGGGTGTACAGGAATCCCTTCCGGCTGTGAACCCTAGCGCGAACGGCGCATGTCCGGCTACGAGTTTTCCGACGCTCATAACTTCTCCATTCCTGATCCATCTCCGACGCTCTTGGACTCGTTAGAACGAGCATCCCGAGCTCTTTCTAATGCAACTTCAACCAACTGGATCTACCGTGTATCCCGATTGTTATGAAGGTTTTCCCTTTCCGCGCTAGCGGCGCTTCGCCGAAGGCGCACTCATGGTCGGATGCCTTTAGAGGTCCGGGCCCTTCTCCTGACGTCTTTAGCAAAACCTCCTCCTGAGGTGTCTGCGCCGGAAGCGTAGCTTCCTTATACGCTAGAGGCGCGTGAATAGAGACACCTCAAAAAGGAGCTTTTGCCGAAGGCGCCGAAGACGTTGGCGTTGGTACATCCGACTACGTGATTCTTTGTGCCCTCGTGACGA